TACATATATATATATATATATATATATACTAAAGAGGATCAAAACCCACAATATAAACATACGAGTAACAATATAAAAATACATTATAATTTTTCAAAGGATAAATTTTACTACTTGTTTTTAGGCTTTGATTTGGTTAATGCTAGAAATCAATTAAATATATTGAGAGATTACATATAATTTCACTTGAATACTGTCACTTTCTTTAAATTTTTATAGCTTTCAACAGTTATCAAGCTAGTTACTTGCAAGAAGTGAGAGAATCATTTAAAACAAGTCTGATACATATGCAAATTCAAATCATCCTTTCACTAATTTGTAAGTACTTTAAACACAACATATCCAAATATATGTCTATTCTTGAATTACAAATCATTTTTACTGGGGAAGTACCAATTCTACGAGGTACTATTTGCACAATGACAGAACCTTGATAATAACATCAGACAGCTGCAATGGTTTAATAATTATTAATCTCTATAAAGTATCTTTGTAAATATCTGGCACTAAAATTACAAAAATATCTAAAACTTTTTTTAATATTGCCATGTGCTAACTTCAAGATCAAATTAACATATCGCTGGTAACTAAATAAAAACATAAAGTCAGGTGAACTAATAATCATAAGTACTGTGAAACAGGTGGTTTATAAAATCAGTCACACCTAATGTGATTTAATCCATTAAAGTCATTCAAAAAATGCTTTCACAATACTATTCAGTTTGTTGCTCTAAGGTTCAGTAGTTATTCAACTTCAAAACAATTATTTTCTTACATGCATGTGAATGCCTAAGGTTTGGAAATAATGCACTTTATCTTGACTTAACATGTGCCCTAACTTCTGATTTTTTAACAACTATCAGTAGATTACTAAATTGTCAGTGATACTTTAGCAATCTTACTATAATGAAGCTATTATTAAAGTGACGTCCTTTCTTAAGTTTGGTTTGTTTTGAATTTTGTGCACAGCTACATGAGGGCTATCTGCAATAGCTGTCCCTAAGTTAGCAGTGATAAACTAGAAGGAAGAAAGGTTTTCATCACCATCCACTGCCAACTCTTGGGCTACTTTTTTTAACAACTAATAGTGGTATTGACTGTCACATTATAATGCTTCCATAGCTGAAAGGGTGAGCATCTTCAGTGTGATGGGGATTCGCACCCACAACCCTCAGATTGCAAGTCGAGTGCCCTAACCACCAGGCCATGCCAGGTCTCTTTCTTAAGAATCAGTTGTTTTTTTATGCTGAATAAATCTTATTTTCATATTTATTGTCCATTACAACTACTACATTTGTTTTGATGTATAATATTAAACTGTTATAACCTCTTGTTATACAATCTATCTTTAAGTTCAAATTTGCCTTTGATTATCCTTGCTTTTCAAACTTTCTCCAAAATTATGTCCAGTTTCAAATGGTAATTATTAATGGTTGAAATCTGGATTTGAAACTAATCTAAGGTAATGTATAATTACTGGATAATTAGGTGACTTACAAAATCAAATGTTGGGATTTTGTGTGTGGGGGGAGGGTTGGACTGAGGATGTTTTTGAAAAATAATGTAAATGTTTATATCAAGTTGACAAAAAATTTATAATGGAAATTGATAAAATCATACTTCTGGGCTATCATTGTATTGGACTGATTTATGACCAGCTTTCATATTCATTTATGACTATATTTTGTGCACAAACAATATACTTACAGTATTAACTTAAGTGACATAAATATTGTTTTATTACTTTCATTTTACAAATATAAATAGATAATCTTTTTACATGGTTTGATTTTCTTCATATAACATTCTTTTAGATGAGCTGGTACTTTCAAGTATATTACATATTTTATGATATATCGAATAGGTGATGTATATCAGAAGGGTTCTTGTTTGTAAGATATTACCATCAAGTAATCAGTTTAATAATAGTAAACAGTGTTTTTTTAATGATGGATGAACAGCCTTATATTTAAGTTGGATACATATATACATTTTTCTTTCAAATTTCTACTGGCTTATACCTTATGGTTAAGAAGCCATCACACAAGAGTACGATTTACATATAATGTATACTCATTTCATACTTGGAAATATTTATAAAATAGGATACTATATTTTGTGCAAGCAAGTCTAACAAATATCCAAGTGTTGAAATGAATAAAAACGTATTCTTAAACTGTATTAACAAAAAATCTTAATAGAGAAAAAGCTAAAAATTAGTTTCATATGGTGGCATATTTATTTAACCCTGTGTTAGTCTTCTATAAAAATCTTCCATAGTCACTATTCTGGGGTCTGAGTAGATCCCATCATAAAACAATTAATTTAAAAATACTTGAATAATAATAAACTATTATTTTGGAAACAAAAAAACACTAACACTCAAAATCTTTTTCTTTATTAATCAATAAATTAACATTGAATATTACAGCTTGTTTCTTTTTTTACCACCTAAGCCAAGTGTAATAATTTAACACAAACTAGCCGAAGCTACTAAAAACAACAAACATGTAAGTGCTTCCATCTTTTGGTGCCGATGTTTACAAAACATTAAAACTCCTGAAGACTAACACAGGGTAAATACATAGATAAATAAATAAATAATGGATTTCTCTTCCCACTAACATGAGTAAAAAGTCTGTGTATGATTTCAATGTTTTTGTGCTTCAGCCATCATGCTCAATGTCATAACAGATGAGTAATACAAATAAAACAACAATAAAGATGAATTTTATGCTACTATTATGTAATCCAGTGAAATCCAATGAATGGAATTACTTAGTATTTGTTATTGAATTGTTTAGAAAGATTCCTAAAAAAATATTTTAATAACAAATTTCATAAGATGAAGTATTCAATTAAAAAGATTTACAAGTTTTGTGTTATAATGGAAAATATCCCCCTACCATGAATATAAAAGATAATGGGTGAAATTTTTACAAATGCTTATAATTTTAAGAGGGGAATCTATGAAGTTCTGAAAAATATTTAAATGGAGCAGGTTAAAATTTTAATTTTGCTTTTCTTCTTCAGGTATAGGTACACAAATGGTCCCTTGGTGTCAGTTCATTTTGTTATGCTCAAAATGTGTTTTGGCCTTCATCGTTCATGACTAACAAAAATCAACAACAGAAATAATTTATCTACTATTATTATTAAGGAGATCAACTGTCCATTTCTCATTGGCATGTTCCCTAAAAATAGTAAAAGTTAAGATGTTATCTAGTAGTATATCTAATTGCACCAATTTTTATATATGTTCCGTAGCATGTCCACATTCTTTACACTTCTAAAGAAAGTTGCCTGCTCAATTATCTCCTAACTCTAAAATACGGCCTCTATAAGTTATACCTCCTTTACAGTCGTCATCTTCAGCTCTACTTACTTTCCACCGTTGTACCTACAGTCCTAGTTTCGAAAAATAACTAGCTAGTTAATAACTTAATATTTAAAACCACACACAATTAAAATGAAATACAAATTATTCTGCAAAAATAAAAAATATAACGCTTAAAACCTGCAAAGCACTCCTAGTCTTACTTATTAAAAAAAGGTATGCTTACCTCTGATCTCAAACATGCCATGAATACACAACGACTAACGAGAGCAACCCTGATATGTATAAACAGGAACATCATATTTATTTACATCACAATATCAAGTGAAAATAAAAAGTTCTGAGCAAAAAAAACAAACAAAACAACAACAACAACAAGAAAACAAAAAACAATAAATAACAACAATTTGAATGTTTTCTTAAATATCACTGGTGGCTACAGCTATGTTGTAATTTTTAAAGTTTTTTTTGTTGTTGTTGTTTATCACTGTTTTCATCAGTGCATGGCTGTGAAAATATATTGTCATTCAAAACAACATCATTACAAATTAATGTTATTAATGTTATATTAGATAGTCAACATGGTTTCAATATGAGAAAATATTACCCACAAATCTTTTGACGTTCTTTGAAGAAGTTACTGCTTATGTAGATGAGGGTAAGAGTGTAGATTTGGTGTATCTGGATTTTCAGAGAGCATTTGACAAGGTGCCACATATCTCTGTAAGTATGGGGGATAAGTTAGGAAATTGGATAGAAGAGTGGCTGGATGGAAGAAAGCAGAAGGTTGTTACAAATGGAGTTCAGTAAAACTGGATTAAAGTCACAAGTGGAGTATATCAGGACTCAGTCTTAGGACCTTTGCTCTTTTTGATTTACATCATCGACATAGATGAAGGAATAGTCAATAAATTACTTAAATTTCCAGATGATATTAAGGCCTTGGGTGTTGCTAGCTGCAAAGAGGATGCTGCTGATTAACAAAAGGATTTAGATCGTTTAGTGAGTTGGGAAAATAAATGGCAGATGGGTTTCAATTATAATAAATGCAAGATAATGCATGTGGGTTATCATAATTTTAATTATAACTACAATTTAGATGGAAATAACTTTAAAAGTGTTAGTGGTAGGGCAAATAGGATTTTAGGATGTATCTACAGAAACATTGAATACAAGTCTAAAGAGGTTATAATTTCATTGTACAGGTCACTGGTTAGGCCACATTTGGAATATTGTGTTGAATTTTGGATTTGTTTCTTTGTTATGAATTTCGCGCAAAGCTACACGAGGGCTATCTGCGCTAGCCGTCCCTAATTTAGCAGTGTAATACTAGAGAGAAGGCAGTTAGTCATCACCACCCACCGCCAACTCTTGAGCTACTCTTTTACCAACGAATAGTGGGATTGACCGTCACATTATAACTTTCCCACGGCTGAGAGGGCGAGCATGCTTGGTGTAACGGGGATTCGAACCCGCGACCCGCATATTGAGAGTCGAGCCACCTAACCACCTGGCAATGCCGGCCTTCAGTTTTGGACTCCATATCTTAGGGAATATTTTGAATTTTTGGAAAGGGTTGTAAGAAGGGTTACTAGAATGGTGCCTGGGATGGAAGGGTTGTCATACGAGGAGAGGCTGAAATCTCTCAAATTGTTTTCTCTTGAAAAAAAGAAGAGTTATGGGGAGAGATCTGATGGCGGCATCTAAGATTGTAAAAGGAATTGATAATGTTGATGCAACATCTTTTTTCATATTTAACTGTGAGAAGAGTACGACTAGTCGGCATAAATATAAATTTTGACAGGGTAGGAGTCATCTTCAGCTAAGACAACTTCATTTTTCTAACAGGGTGGTTGGCCTTTGGAATGCGCTGCGTTCGAACATTGTAGAGGCAGTAACTTTTAGTGAGTTTAAGAAAAGGCTTGATAAGTATTTGAATGATAAGGTCTGGCTTTAAGATTTTTTTGGAATTATTTTAATTTAGTTTAGAGGGAGGAACAGCCGAGATGGGCCAATAGACCCGATGTTGTCCCAAAACGTTGTTATTATATATATATATATATATTGTTGCCGTCATTCTACTGTTTATCATTAAACTTCGATTCTAGTCGTATGAATTTGTTGCTAAGTTTATGATGTTTTTACTTTTAGTTATATTTTGAGCAAATATCTTAAATTTACTCTTACACGCTCTCATGCTGATGACTTCAGCACCAAAAGAGATGTTACACAATTTTTTCGTCGTTTACGCTTACGAACCCACTTCAGCAACAATAACTAAAATGCAGGCCCAAATCTATCCGATGACAAGAAGTATATCCTTCCTTCTTCTAATGAAAAACCTTTCATTCCATTCAAAAGATACAATAACACCTAGATACCTAACCAATGAAATTTTCCAGCTTCAGAGTATCTTATCAATAGGTTTCAAAAGGAAATCCACAACCTAAATTTCTCTAATAAACACAACAATGAAAAAAAAAACAACAACATCGAAGAAGTTAAAGATAGATATGATACCGTTATCAAACCCGCGGACAAAGGTGATACTGTAATTGTATGGTGCAAGGACCTATATATATAGCAGAGGTAGTACAACACCTCTCTAATGGTGAATATTATTTTAAACTACAAACCCATCATCCCGAAGATTACCAAAACACTGTAAAAGAGATAATAAAGAATTAAATAGATGCAGAACAATTCCCACTAGATGCGTGAGACTTAATTATAGAAGAACTAAGAACATATCCCACCAAAGATAAACTAGCCTGAAAACCCTGAGAGACCTATATTTTCAACATGCAATTGTCCTACAGATTTAATCTATAGTTTTTAGATTAAACCATGACATCTTTGGTAGCTACTCTTCTAACCTAAATGAAAGATACCACCGATACTCTTCCAATATTTAACGAAATGTCCCTAACTACTCCTAACCAATTACTATTCACAACGGACATCAAAGTGAGGGTCTTGAAGCTTTGAGGTTCTACCTCAACCAGCAAAAAGTGCTAGAACCATCAACAGACACTCTTATAAGACTAGCTGAACTAGCTTTGACATTGAACGACTTTTCTTCCAAAGATTCACATTACAAACAAATAAAAGGTATAGTCATGAATATCAAGATGGGATCATGATTGGTCAACCTGTTTGTAGGCTACATAGAACATAACATCTTTCAAACTTATGATAGACTCATGCCTGTTTTATACCGATGATACATTAATGACATCATTGAAATCTAAACTTCCAGTATAGACGAACTCCATAATTTCATCAATTTCGTTCAAACTATCATCCAGCCCTTCAGTACACAAGCAACGTTTCAAACAATTCAGAAAACTTCCTTGACATCATTCTAACCTTAACTACAGAGAATAGCATTTTAACGTCCATCTATTATAAACATACCGATTCTAACTCTTTCTTCAATTATAACTCCAGCCATCCTACATCTACTAAAAATGGCATTCCAAAAATCACAGTTTCACCACCTGCGTCGTTTATGCCAATTCCAAACCCGATTTTAACGAGAAAGCTGATGAAATGACAGGTTTTTTAGCATCAATAACTATCCTCTAGACATAATCAACTCAGCTCGCATAATCGCTGCAAATATGAGTCACAAGAATGCACTAAATCTGAAGACAAAATAGAATGATCGTAAAAATCAAGTCCCTTTGATACTGACATATCATCCGCAAAACATCCAGGTTTCTAACACAATCAAAAACAATTTTGGGGTACTTCAAAAGGACAAAATGTTGGGAGAAATATTTAAGGATAAACCTATCGTTTCGTACCGAGACGAAAAAAACTTAGAAGATTTATTAGTTCGGACACGGTTGACGGTACCTGAAGAAGTCACACATGTTCATGTGATACACATTGCTGTACACATTCATGGTACAACGTATGATGTTACATCAACACCAGTACTTCTGTATTTGGATCCAGCTCCACGTATACACTCAAACAGTTGTTCATCTGTACATCCAAGTGCCTAATTTATTGCATTATTTGTTTATATTGTGGACAATTATATGTGGGAGAAACAGGTCGGATGTTATCTGAACGAGCACACGAACACATCCGTATCATCCAGAAGTATGATCTAGACCAGGGGTCACCAAACTTTTTTCAGAGCGGGCCAGATAAGTGAGAGAATGACGAGCGCGGGCCGCATAACCATTTTGTTCAATACAATACAGTGTATATACACAAAAACCTTTCCCAGGTTTGTCTTATTTCTTCTTTTCTGTTAGATCTTCATCTAGCCTGAACTATTTTTGGGCATTCCTAATTCTATTGAATCATCATCAATCCTTGCTTTCATCCTTAGTTTCCAGACTTCCCCAAACCCAGCCACCCCCACATCTCTGTACTTTCTGTTTCCTGTCTTTCATTTCCCACTTTCAAACCTTTCTCTGTTAACCACCTGATTTCTTCCTGGAGTAAGACTTGTTGAGCTCATTGATGACAATCCCGTTGGGGCCATTCTTTCATGATTTGCACACCTGTGGTCTCATTTTCTGTAGGGAAATAGGTTACTCTAGTTCTTACCCATGGTTTTTCTCTCCACTTCTCTTCCCCTACCTCTCTCAGCCCTCATCCCGTTTCCTTTATTCCTACATCTGATCCCATCTACCAACAGCACTTTGAAAAGGTAGTGTTCATTAACACTTGCAAATTTTCCTCACTCCCATACAATATCTTGTTGACCTAGGTGCATTCTTCAACTTCTTGCTCAGCCTTCTCTTATCTGCCTATGAGTTATGAAACTATTAGTCACTAGAATCTGTGCCTCTCCTGCACATACTGCACAAGAGGTTCTATCACCTTTGGGGCCCATGGCTTCACTGGAACCCTTTGGGTCATGCACTATGTGCTTCCTCCAATGGTTCTTGCAGACCATTAGAACCACTCAAGGGAAACTTTGACCTCAGTGGTCCATCTGTTTCCTCTTTTACTCTAGGATCAGTCTTGGTGGCTAGATAAATCCAATACCACCATTGGTGTTCCATTATCTTCACCCAAACTGGATCTGTACCTCCTCACCAATGCTTCTTTCTCTGGCTAGGAGAGCATCTCTGAATGACAATTTCAAATTGAGCACATTGACCAAGGATTTTTCCTCTCTCCATATCAATGTTATCGAACTTCTGACAGTCTGTGGAGCACGTTC